TTCGGTGGCCTGGGCGGTGAGGGGAGCGCGTGCGTGTGTACGTGCGTTTGCAGCCCTGTCAGTCCGCCCCTCGGCGGCCCGCACCCCTGGCCAGCAGCTGCGTGTGCAGCGCCAACCCGCCGTGTTTGTGCATACGCAGCTCGCGCGCGGCTCCCGCCCACCCGGGCGCGGCCCGGGCAGGAAAACCCTCCCAACCCGCGGGGCCCGCGGCGGCGGCGGCGGCGGCTCAGGAATACGGCGGCTCCTCCTCCGCCTGAGCGAAACGTGGTGTCCTCAGGGACCAGCTTGCATGATCCAGCCCGGATCCGGGAGGCGCCGGAGGGGTTCGCGAGCTACTGAAACTTGGCGCAGGAGCCCCTTCTCCTTCCCGTGTGCACCGGTCGTGGATACTGCGCCAGCGCCGGGAGTCTGGGGCACAGAGGCGCAGGAGTGGCAGGGAATCGGGCCAGTGCAGTAGAGGCCTAAGCTGGAGCGTTTAGGGCAGGCGGGCCGGCCTCACCCCGCGCACCCCGGCACTGCCGGCTGCTGGCGCACCTCAGACCTGTCATCTCTCGCCCGCCCCCGCACGCCCCGCGCCGCTGCGGCCTGCAGAGCGCTCCCGCCGCCTCACCTTGCGCTGCGTTTGGTGGTGCTTGTGCGGAACTCGGGAGCCCGGGTTTTGTCTCGACCCTGCATATGGCCGGCTTGGTGGAGATAGTCATACCTCTCTTTCAGCTCACACATCCAGGAGCGTGTGCACCAGGTTGCACCTGGAGGGCCCCCACCCAGGCTTCTGGATGAGGGCCTGGGTCTTTCAGGCTTAAGTCCCAAGGAAGGCAGACCTGCAAGAGGTACCTGCCACTCAAAGGGGGGCGGGGGCCGTGGGTATTCCAGCCCAGCCTCCAGAGCCAGATGCTGGAAGGCTGAAAGGGGAAGTTGCTCGCCCCCATTTAAAACTTTGTTGGTCACAACTTTTGTGGCTACTTCCTGCTTCCACCATCCCACGTGGGGCCTGTATGCCAGCCTGTGGAGCCTTGCTCAGGGGAGTGTGGGATGGGGAAGTGCTGGCTGGCCCTGAGTGACTATGGAGGCCACCTTGGCACGTGTCTGCAGGGAATCCCTGTTGGCAGTTACGGCTGGGGGAGGGGAGGTCTAGCTTGCTCCAGCAGAGGGAGCCTGGCCTGGTGGCAGCTTGGAGGTCTGGCCTCTCCTTGGCCTAGCAGCTTCAGGATTGAGACTGGAGGCCTGGTGAAGGTGGAAGAACCACAGCTCTGAGGAGAAGCCTCTCCTCTCTTGTGGGGCGCTGGCTGAGGGGAGAAAACCACCTGACTTGCTCCAGAACCTCCTAGGGATGGTGTGGCCCGGGCCCCTTTAGCATCAGAGAAATGCAGCTTTTTCACAGGCTGTTAGATGGCTTCAGGATGGAGGGGAATGGAGAAACCATCCCAGGTTAGGAATTTATGGGTCCTCTTTTTTCAGCTCTGGACAGTGAATAATAGGGGTGTAAATATTCAATTACTATGATAAACCATCTGATTGCATGGCTCTGGCCTAGTCTCCATTCTAATTGTATTGGCCTCTGGCTGGCTACTGTGGTCTGAGTAGCTCCCAGGGGACCAGGGGGTGAAGAACCTGGAGGGTCCCTTCCCCCCATCCCCAACCATGCAACTTGCTCTGGAACAGCCAGACCACTGCCAGTGTGGCTTCTCCAAGCACCAGGCAGAACCCACACTCCCTCTGACTCTGCCAGCCCCTCACCCCACCCTAGGAAAAACTACTTTGAAGTGCCCATGAGGATGAGAGTTCAACTTTTAAATGTGGGATTTAAAAATGGCTCAAGTGTTTAGTCCTGTGGGCTGCTGCTTTTAGTAAATGGAGGGGAGAAAAAAAAGACAATATACAGTTACAGATATCAGCTGAAGGCCTCCTGAGGGTGCAGAACTCAGGGAAGAGCTGCCCAGTGGAGCCAAGGCCTCTCTCTCTGGGCCCTTGTCTGCATGGGACAGTGCCCTGGAAGGGGAGTGGGCCCAGTCCAGGAATTCTTGTTCTTGACAGCCCCTCTCCTGCAGTTGAGTTTCCCAGAGGGAAACCTTGCTCATGGTGGAGTGGGGATGGTCGCAAGTGGCTGGGAGATTCCTGCTTATTATCCTTCTAATGCTGTTTCAAATGCCATTTCTTTGGAGAAGCCTTCTTCTGAACACTCATTTCCACCTTTGTAGCCATTTGTGTACATACTATAGAATGGTGGTTAACAACACAAACTGGGAGCTAGAGTCTCTCTACCTTCTTCATAGAGTTGTGAGGATTCTGCGAGTTAGCACATATACTTCGAATGCTGAAAGCACGTTTCAGCATTATCATAGCCTCTGCTCTAATATGTGCTCTATAATGTTCTCATAATATCTGGCATTTAGTAGGTGTTTAGTAAATGTTAGTTGAACAAAAAGAAGGAAAGATCTCCATCAAAAACAACGTGAACTTTGAGGGGGTGGGTATAACTCAGTGGTAGAGCACATGTTTAGTGTGAACAAGGTCCTGGGTTCAAGCCCCAGGACCTCCATTGAATAAATAAATGAATAGACAGATAAATAAGTAAATAGAGAGCCAACATTTATTAAAACAACAACAAAACAATGTGGTAGGCCCAGTGAGTCCTACTGCTGGGGCCCTCTACTGTGCCATTGGTTTCAGAAGGGTTGGTCCATGTGTGATTCTGGTACTGGTGAAGCCAGTCTCCTGGCACTGCCCTATGGCTGACCTTCTGGAGAGCACGTCCCAGCCATCCTGACCCCAGCAGGACCTCAGGGTGAAAGAGTGTGAAGCCTCCCGCCTGGGAATCTGCTAACTTGGGCATTTCCTTTGGCCAGGTCAATAGGCACCTGTTCTGTGTGTGTGCATGCGTGAGTACAGAAGCAGCCTGGGGGCTCCATTCTTCCCTGATACTCTGCAGGCTGCAGGAAATGCAGCGAGAGGTTGAGTTCCTTTGGAAGGGTAGCTGCTGCACAGGAGTGCTCTGACTGTGTGGGGCTGAACTGAATAAAGTGCGAGCTCAGCTGGAGCTGGGTGGAGTGTGCTGAAATCCCCAGTTCTTACTTATGGGATCTTTATTTGCATTCAAAGCAACGTTCGGGATACTGTGAAACTGTGAGCTCACTTTATGAATCAGAAGCATTACAGCATAACTTCGGTGTTGGAAACTGCTATTTGGAATCCAGATCACCCTCCCTCCACCCCCAACACATACACACTTACAGGGGCTCTCATACTCACACACTTGGGAGCAATAACAGTTAGTGGGGCATCAGTTCAGATTCCAGAGCCATCAAGCAAAACTGTCCACACCTATTTCCACCCCTACACTCAGAACACCATTCCTGGATGGTGTGTGGACGGTAACCTGGCCAGTGACTCTGACAGAAGCCTGGTGGATGCAAAAGAACAGGGCCTGGGCAGACTTGGGTTCATGCTCCAGCTTCCCCACTGGCTGTGTAGCTTTGGGCATTGCTTAACTTCCTGAGCCTCAGTTTCCTCACCTATAAAATGGGGATAATAACTTTTCAAAGGGTTGCTGTGGAAAAATATGCCTGCAAAATGACTGGCAGATAGTAGGTACTCAGTAGATGATGGCTGGCATTTTACTGGTTCTGACCAAGCCCAGCTCCTATTTGTCTTTCGTTTCTTCCAGGGAAGAGGAAATAAAGGGTTTCTTGCTTGTGGTAGGAGGGTACTCTTCCAGGCTGCTGGGGCTTGTGAAAATGAAGCTCATTTTCAAACTCCCTAGGCCCTGGGCGCAACTGTGTGATACACTCTAGCCTAGACCAGCCCAGAGCCTGTTGCCTGTGTACCACTGCAGAGATTCTGTGCCTGCAGCTGAGGGTTAAGGGCTCAACTTCCCAGAGATCACATTGTGCTCCCCGGAACCTACCCGCCCAGGCCTCAGGCTGAACTGCTCACGTGGGTGAGAGGAAGGCTGCTTTCTCAGACTGGGAAAAAGTCCCCTTGTCTTTGCTTCACCTGAAGCCTCCCAGTGTGACCTCAGTGGAAGTTTGGGTGGAGCCTGAGGTGGGAGTTGTCACTCCTAAGAGCACTTTGGCTCTTTCACCAATTGAAATAGCTGGGGTGGAGTGAGGGGTGGGAGTGGAGTAGGGGGTGGGACACCAAGATGTTATATAAGAAGAAAGTTGCCACATGTCAGAAGAGACCTGGGGTTTTGCTAGGGTGGGGGTGGGGGTTCCCTGAGGGCCTCAACTTGCTGGCTGTGGTTTTCCGGGGCTGGTGGAAAGGAGAGGGGCTGGAAGCCTGAGGCATCCCTGGCAGTGGTTCTTGATCTTACTCTTCCTGGAACACAGCCTGGTGCTGTGGCCAGCTCGGGAGGGTGCTCCCTGTTCCCTCTGCCGTTCTTTCCAGCCACAGGGAGCTCGTGGTGAGTGTTATTTTTTCCAAGCAGTGCTTCTTCCTCCAGGAGTCTCAGGAAAGGGGGAGGGGAGCAGCCAGGGCGAGGTTTGTCCAGGCCGAAGCTTGGAGAGAGGGAAGTACACCAGGCTTGCAGCCAGAAGGGGGTTCCCTCTGAGGCCACCCAACTTTTCTGGGGAAATGGGGTCCAGAGAGGAAGGAAAACAACGAGGGATTTCGAGTCCTAGCTTTTTCCAGCAACTGGGCCGACAGAGGCCTCAATCCAGCCTGCTGTTGCCAGAATTTGCCAGTTCCTTGGAGGGGCAGGCTCCTCAGAAAGGAGCTTAGAGTGGGGAGGGTATAGCTCAGTGGTTAGAGAACATGCTTAGTATGCAAGAGGTCCTCAGTTCAATCCCCAGTGCCTCCATTAAAACAATTAGCTAAATAAATAAACCTAACTACCACCCACCCCCAAACAAAAACACAAAAACAGAAAGGAGCTCAGAAACAGACCTGAGTGGTAACTCAAAAGTCCCAAGAGTGCATATAGCTGGCCTTTCTCTCCTTTCCTCCTTTTT